AAGAAAGAAAGAAAGAAAGAAAGAAAGAAAGAAAGAAAGAAAGAAAGAAAGAAAGAAAGAAAGAAAGAAAGAAAGAAAGAAAGAAAGAAAAAAGAAAGAAGGAGGGAAGGAAGGGGGAAGGAAGGGGGAAGGAAGGGAGGAAGGAAGCGGGGAAGGAAGCGGGGAAGGAAGGAAAAGAAATTGTTTTAAGGAACTGGAATTGGCTCACACAATTTATGGGGCTAGCAAATCTGAAATATGTAGTATAGGCCACTGGCTAGAAACTCAGCAAGAGTTGTTGCAGTCTTAAGTCTGAATTCTGCAAGGCAGTAAAGTCTCTGTGCTGCAGACTTGAAGAGAGTTCCTTCTTTTGGGGGAAACTTGAGACTTTGCTTAAGGCCTTCAGCTGGTTGGATGAGGCCTACCCACATTCTAGAAGGTAATCTGCCTTACTCAAAGTCTACTGATTTCAATGTTAGTCACATCTGAAAAATACCTGCACAGCCACATCTAGACTGGTATTTGACCAAATAACTGGACGCCATAGCCTAGACAAGTTGACACATAACATTAGTCATAGGCTATGTTCAAAAGGCTGAACTACATGCTATGTGAGCGTGAAACTGTTAACATTTGTAAACTCACCATCTGAATTACGTAAAAGTGGGACAACTGATATACAAATATATTAGCTTCCTCTAGGTGTCGGGCAAGGAAATAGTTATGCAGGGTATTGAAAGGAAATGATTTCCAAGAGGACTAAGAAAACTGACAATACTTGTCCACTCTTTTGTAGATGACATGCAACAGTGGGTGGCGGGGAGCAAGGGAGAGAGGGGAGGAGATGGGAGAGGGAGCTGTTGTCACGTGGACTTTTCAAACAGTATTCGGAAGTAAACTGATCCTTATATTTGCGGAGCTATATCTTGTTTCCTAGCTCTGAGTAGCGACTTATTTGGTACTCCCTAAAATAAAAATGACCTTCAAACACAACATATTTCATATTCCACAGGACCTGCTTCTTACAGTGATCTCTGTGCATTCTTTCTTTTTAAATTAGTAATTTGGGGCCTTTATTTCTGTCTGGCAAGACTCTGGAAAAGATTTCAATTTCTCTCTGTGAGTGACACCATTAGATCATTTTATGTTTTTCATGAGACATCCCGAAATCGGGCTTGTTCTGTCCATGACTTATGTTTAAGAAGTTAGTATATCGGGTTTTACACCCATGTGGATGTTGAAAATGAAAAAAAGTAAAGAAATAATCCATCAGCTCTTCCTCTCAATGTTGAGTGGTGATATGTTTGCGCACTCAATGAAGAATCGGGCTCTTTGAGCACATTCTA